CAGAGTCAGCCGCAGGCCCCGCCTCCCGAGGCATCGACGGGGCCGCTTCCGCACAAGCCGACGCCCGAAGAGGTCCAGCTCCTCCAGCCACCTTCTCTGCAGCATGGGCAGTCCGACCACCGCGCTGCAGTGGCCGCAGTGGCGGCCCCGTCCAGCAGCGATGGCGTGGCCGCAGTGCCCGCTCCCGTGCCGAAGCAGCCGGCGCAGCAGTTCCACCGGCAGTGTCGTGACAGCAGCGGGTGGCAGCAACCTGCCTGGCAGCGTGAAGCCCGCCTGTGGCTGCCAGATGCACAGGCGCATCCGCAGCTCTACAGGGACCCGAGCGTCGCTTACCGAGGCGGTGGCACACCATGCCTGCGACAGAGCGGGTACGCCGAGGCCGCACTGGCGGCGCACCCGCAGCAACCGCCACAGATGGAGCTCCCCCGAGTGTGGGACGTCATGGACCTAAATGGCAGCTTTTATTATGTACCGCATGTGCGGGTCCTCGAAATCGGATGGCGAAATGCTGCCGTTTCGGCCAGCAAGCGGGCGACAGCCACCGAGTAGAACAAATCGTGCTTACCCGAAGCATTTGGATCAACGTTGAGCACGAAGTCGTTCCGTTCGCGAATGGACTGCTTGTTTGCGCCCCCGAACGCTCCCTGTGGATCGGTGGCGAGAACCTCGTCAATCTCCACATTCGTGAAAAGCATTGCTCCTCAACGGCAAGATTCTGCGACAGTGGGCAGCTTCGGACAGCTCGCTAGCGAAACAGCTCTGGGCTTGACCCTCAGTGGCTGCGGACTGCATAGCGCCACATAGAATACCTCGGATAAGGCGCAGCCACTTCCCGAGTGCGTATGGGCACTGCAACTGCGCCAGGAGTGTTTGGCATCATGTGCGGGGCAACCGCAGCCTTTTGCCGCCATGCGCTGTTCTTAAAAAGGGCGAAGACCCCGCCCGCCCCCAATCCCCACCTGCGGCCTGACTGCACCATCCAGCCAGCAGAGGGCGTCATAGGGGGGCGCGGGTCCAAACAGCGGCCGCGCCGACAGCCCATCGGAGCGCGCGATGCAAGGAGAAGCCCGGGCGCCGCGAGAGGCACGCCCGATGCAACCGCCGCGCCCCAAAGTATGCTGATGGCGCGATGGGGCGCCTCGTTTGGGCGATGCGCGGGAGGGCTTGCGCGCGCCTCGCACTAGTAATTGCGCCTGGCGGGGGCAGCGCGCTTCCGTCGCCCATTGGCCGCTTGGGGGTGATAGCCCCGCTGGAAGCCAGGCCCAATCTGCTCAGCCGCCTTCGCGAACGTAGAACTTCGCATCAGGGGGCGATTTGGCCCGGCGTGGGCTTGCTCTGCGTGTCCGGGCGCGCCGGCGCCCCCGCGAACGCAGAATGTGCGGCTGAGTGCGCCTTGGTCCCGGAATGGGCAGCTTGCCATTGCAGGCGTTCCCAGCGTAAATTGCGCATCCAAGCGCGATGTGGCCCAGTCTGGGCCCAGCCTACCTGCCCAGGCGTCCAGGCGCTCCTGTGAACGCAAAATTCGCAGCGGATAGCCATGTGGCCCGAAATAAGCAAATTGATGCTCCCACGGTTCCAGGCGCCCTTGTGGGCGGCAATGGCGCATCCGAGCGCGGAGTGGCCTTATCTGGGCCCGATCTGCTTATCCAGGCGCCGGCGCCCCTGCGGGCGCGGAATGCGCACCTGGGCGCGTTTAGGTTCGAACTGGGCAGATTGCCACTCTGGGCGCAGGCGCTCCCGTGGGCGCAAATTGCGCATCCGAGCAGGATTTGCTAGCTCAGGCGCCCGAGCGCCCCCGTGGACGCAGAAGACGCGTCTGAACGCGAATGGGTCCGACACGGACAAATTGCCGCTCCCAGCGTCCCAGGCGCTCCCGTGGGTGCAAATTGCGCATCCGAGCGCGATTTGCCTGTTCAGGCGCCCGGGCGCCCCCCGTGAACGCAGAATGCGCATCTGAACGCGAATGGACCCGAAACTGGCAAATTGCCACTCCCAGCGTCCCAGGCGCTCCTGCGGGCGCCAGGTGCGCATCTGAGCGCAGTGTGGCCCTATCCGAGCATTGCGGCGCAGCTCCTTGCAGGGGGCGTTGTCTGCCAGAGGCTCCTTTAGGGGGGCGTTGCGTGCCAGAGTTCCTTCTTAGGGGAGCTGGCGTGCCAGAGCTCCCTATCAGGGGATTGGTGGCGCCTCTTCTATCAGGGAGCAAGAAGGCGCAGCTCGTTACAGCGAGCGTCATCAGCCAAGGCCCCTTTCAGGGAGCACGGCGTGCCATGCCTCAGCTCCCTATCAGGGAAGTGGCGGCACGGGCCCCTATCGGGGAGCTCGGCATAGCACGTGTGTGCATAGCGCCCTAGCGGGGGAGAGCGAGTGGGAGTCCGCAAATCTTCCCAGGGAGTGGCCAGACCTCCGCTCCTTTGAGGACTACCATGCTTCCGCCGCTCCTAGCAAACTTCAACGGCTCCCGGCAGAACCAGCAACAGGTGGAACCACGACAGGTAAGAGGGGTTGCTGGACAGGCAGCGAAAAATGCGACGACAAGATGGAACATATAACGCAGAACCACGACCCGGAGGAACTGGCGAACGATTTTGCGCAGGAAAGCTGGGCGCTTAAGCGCACAAGCGAGAACTGGACTTGGGATAACCACCAGTGGGAGTGGGAGAACGGCGCGTGGATGTACACGTGAAGGTGTGGGGGAGGAATTGGCCGCAGTGGCGGCCTCTCTCTCGTGCGAGCCCCACGCGGAACGCAAGCTTGCGGGGTCGCACATTGCATCTTGTTTTGCTCCTTTTCCTCTCTTGTCCTTCTGTCTTGCCCTTGATCCCTCTCTCCTTCTCCTCCCCCTCCCCATTTCTTTATTTACCAGACTATTCATTTTTTTTTTTTTCTCTCTCTCTCTCTCTGTATATACATTTCTCTCTTTCTCTCTTCTCGCGCTCTCTCTCTCTCTCTTTTTCTGCGTGTCTGCGTGTCTGTCTCTGTGTATGCGTGTCTGTCTGTCTGTCAGTCAGTCTGTCTGTCTGTTCGTCTGTCTGTCGTCTGTCTTTCTTTGTCTGTCGCATTTTCGAGCCATGTAAAAGGAGCCTGCAGCCATGTAGTGACGGGTTGAAAGGGCGAACCTGCAGCCGTAGAGTGGAGGTTGTAGGGGCTTGAAACTTACTGCCATCGTGTTTTTGAACTGACCGTTCGATTTGCCTTGCCCCGATGATTTGAGCGCTCGAGAGACTTTCGCTGTAGCTGCGTGTGACTGCAATGTGCGCGCGAGTGCGTGTGTGTGTGTGCGTGTGTGTATATATATATATATATATATATGTGTGTGTCTGTGTGTGTGTGTGCGTGTGTGCGTGTATGTGTGTGTGTGTGTGTGTGCGTGTATGTGTGTGTGTGTGTGATAGGGGGCGAGCTGGTGCCACGTCTCGCCTGTTTTCTTCTCGCTGGCTTTTGTCCTCTGCTGTGGGCTCCTCGCGCTCGAGTCTTTCGCTCCTACAGCCTGGGTGTTGGCGCCTGCGTTCGTGTTGCACTGGCCGCTTTCGTGTCGTCACCCCCTGTCGTCACCCCCGCTTTCGCGTGGTGTTAGACATTTCGTGTCGTCACCCCCTGTCTGATTCAGACATGGCGCCGAGAGGCTCAAGGGAAACAGGTGTGGGGCGCGCGAGACGGCCGCGCGCACACAAGAGCGGATTGGGGCGAAGGGGGGGGGGCGGCCTTGTATCAAGGGAGGAAAACCACCCGGACCGGACAATTGGCGTTTACTGAACGGCCTTGGGCGTTTTTTAGACAGCCCTGCCCTGTTCGATTCCTTCAGTGGGGGCGTTTAGTAAACGGTTCGCGTGTCGGGGTGGTTCTTACGGGGGTGGATTTTTCGCCTTCTTACCTGGATGCAACTCCTTGGAGGTTAGATTCTGATTTTGCCCTGGTCCGAAATCTGGCTTAATCCGGCTTAATCCCGTCCAATCCCGTTTAATCCCGCTCAATCCCGCTTAATCCAGCTTAATCCCGCCTAATCCGAGGCCCACCCTGGCGTAACAGCTCCCGAACGGGGCTTCATCCTCCTTAAATCTTTCCGACGAAAACCTCCCAGTAGTTGCCTCCTAACTCTTACTGTAAGAAGGCAGGGGGCAGCTCAGGGGGGCCTTGCCCCTGCTCGGTGCTTCCCGAGAGCGCCCGCCACGGGCCGTGCGGAGGCCGCGAGAGGGCCTCCGAGAGAGCGGGGGGCCCTGTCAGACGGCTCCCCTCCCCGTCCCGGCCCCTCCGCCTCCTCCTCCTCCTCCCCCTCCTCCTCCTCCTCCTCCTCCTCCTCCTCCTCCTCCTCCTCCTCCTCCTCCCCCTCCTACTCTTCCTCCTCCCCCTCCTCCTCGTCCTCCAGCGCTGCGCGCCGACGAGCGGACGGCAGTGCCGCAGCCGTGAGTGCAGGTGGATCCTCGGTATTTGCCGCCCTGTCCGCGGGAACGTCCACGGCGGCGGGGAGTGACGGCACGGCGCGCGGGTGTCGGCGGCGACGATAGAGGCGAATAGCCCAGGGGCGGGCATTGCACGTATTCCCCTTTTCGAAGACATAGATCATCGGCGCACCTGAATACATGTATTGCTCTCCCCTGGGCCATTCGCCCCTATCGTCGCCTCTGAGGGTGTTCGGATCCAAGAACGGAGAACAAGCCACGATGGCGACGGTGTGAACGAGTAGGGGGCACACGGGCAAGATGTGGAGCAGGGGGAGCGGGAAGATGATCAGGGGAGCAAGCGCGGCGCGCGCATGGGAGGGAGGGAGGAGGGAGGAGGGAGGTCGGCGGGGCGGGAGGGAGACAGCGAGGGAGTAAGTGAGGGAGCGAGTGGGGCAGGGGGGTAAGCAAGGATGGGGGAGACAGAGCGGGAGGCAGAGAGGGAGAGGGTGAACGGGCGATGGGGGAGGAGGGCAAGAGGGACAGACAAGGGGGAGGGCAAAGGACAAATACAGGGGCCGCGAAAGGTCCGAGAGCTCTCGAGTGGGTGCGCCCCCCCGCGAGGTCTTCATCGGCCATGTCGACGCGGGTAAGTCCACGACCTGCGGCAATATTCTGTATCTCAGCGGCTGTGTCGACGACAGGACTTTTTGGCCCAACCCGATATGTAGCCAGAGAGCAGCTCGTGCCCAGGCAAGCATACCTCCTCCTCCTCATTCGCCTGCGCCTCCTCCTCCCACGCTCGTCCCTCCTCCCTCCCCTTTTCTCCCTCCCGCCTCTCTCCTCTTTCCCGTTTCCTCGCTGATTTCCTCCTGCCTGCTTGCTCCTCTCTTCCTCTTCTCCTCTCCTCCAAGGAGGCAGGCGACGAGGAGGGGGAGAGTGGGGGGATTGGGGGAAGGCCCCTCCTCCCCTCTTGCTCCTCTCACCCTCCTCCTCCTCCTCCTCCTCTTCCTCCTCCTCCTCCTCCTCCTCCTCCTCCTCGGGATGAAGAGACGGGGCAGGATGAGGGATGATGAAGACGAGTACGAGGAGGAGGAGGAGGAGCAGGAAGAGGAGGAGGAGAAAGCGGAGGAGGAACAGGATGTGACCGAAGAGGGTTCGGAGCAAGACAATGCGGACGATGACTATGCTGATGATGACTGTGATGATTCTGATTGAGCTGGCGATGGTGACAGCGAGAAGGATGATGTTTATATGCGTTTTGACTGAGTCGATGCTTAGGGTGAAGAACGCATCGCGGAAGCTCGGTCGAGCCCTCTGCCCACTTCGAAAAGTGAGTGTGTGTGTGTGTGTGTGTTTTTACCCCCTCTTGCACGACCTGCGTGTACTCTGGAATCGTCTCTTGCGCACCCCCCGGGTCCTGGCGGGGTGCGGGGGGATGCGGCCTTTTCCCTCCTCCTCCTTCGAGCTCCCAGCGCGTTCCGGAAAGCCTTCCCTGGAACGCGCTGGGTCCCGACAGCCACTTGTGACGATTCTTGGCTGGCTGATTTCTGTATGGGCGTGTTGTGCGGAGCGCCGTGCTGCGCGTGAGGTGTAGCAGGCATGGCGTGGGATTCGTCTGCTTGCTAGTCAGCGTTCTCCGGCAAGGGCAGTTCAACTTGGAGGCTGACGTGCACGTCGTCTTCGCTTGTCGCGATACGGGCATTGTCGAGCGATACGAGCACCGATGCTCTCGCTTCCCCTCCTCTCCCCGCAGCTTCTGAGCGCGGCCCCCGCCGAGGCGCTCCTGGCCCGCGCGCGCGGGCGCGAGAGTGGGTGGACACAAAGTGTCCATCATCGTCATCATCATCATCATCATCATCATCGTCATCATCATCATCATCATCATCATCATCATCATCATCATCATCATCATCATCATCATCATCATCATCATCATCATCATCATCATCATCATCATCATCATCATCATCATCATCATCATCATCATCATCATCATCATCATCATCATCATCATCATCTTCATCTTCATCTTCATCTTCATCTTCATCTTCATCTTCATCTTCATCTTCATCTTCATCTTCATCACCATCACCATCACCATCAGCATCCACGGTTTCCGAACACCGACACCATCGCCAACAGTTTCATCACCAGCATCAACACCCACAACACCATCGCCTCAGTTTAGGGAGTTTGTCTTGTGATGTCACGTCATCCTGACCCCTGGCGCCCCTTCCCACTTCTGCCAGATACCCTTCAGTCCACTCCACTCCAGCCGACGCTACTCCACTCCTCCGCCTTCCTCCAGAGACCGACGCTATCATCCCGACGCTCGTGCGCTCTTCAGGCCTCCTCCCCACTCTTCCCTTCCTCGGGGCCTCACGTAAAACGCACTCAGTGTAAGTGACGCTCAAATATCATAACTATATGAACTGGTCTTTGAAACACGGTGGGTTGACAAGAAATGTTCGCACCCATCACGCCAATATGATAAGACGCCGAATTGCGTCGAACAAATATCCATCGCTCCCGCCTCCCCCAACCCAAAGTTGACGGGGTTGGGTGCGAGGCAACGCGCGGGGGACAAAGTATGGACACGTCAACTTTGGGACTGGGGGTGGGGGGGCGAGCCACATGAATATTGCAAGTGTCGTTGCCATCATGCCCGATGGTCTTCACGCTGTCGTTGTGGGCACTTTTTGTCTGGGCACCGTCTGGGTCAGAAGAGTTTCGTCGTTTCGTTGATGTGGATGTACATGTGGGTGTGCAGGTAACATGGGTGTGCAGGTAACAGGGCGCTGCCCCCCCACGCCGCAGGCCTCTGCTTGCGCGGAACTGGTACAACTGGATAGGACTGGTCATAGAACTGGTCCATTAAGAAAAGGGTACGGCATAGAACCGGTCGAAATTCTAAACAGAAAGAGATTCAACATGTCATTTTTTTACTTGAGCCGACCAGCTCTATGCTGGACCATATTTTCAAAGGACTAGTTTTGTGACCAGTACTATGACCAGTTCTACTTAGTTATACCAGTTCCGCGCAAGTAGAGGCCTGCGGCGGGGGGGGACGCCCTGTTGCTTGCATCCATGTTACCTGCGCGCCCACATCTATATCCACATCAACGTAACCACGAAACTCTTGCTACCCAGACGTGTTTCAAAGACCGGTTCATCATCATCATCATCATCATCATCATCATCATCACCATCACCATCAACGGTGTCCGAACACCAACACCATCGCCAACATTTTGATCACCAACATCAACACCAACAACACCATCGCCACCACCGTTGTCAGTTTAGGCAGTTTGTCTTGTGAACTCACGTCATCCTGACCCCTGGCGCCCCTTCCCACTTCTGCCAGATACCCCTCATTCCACTCCACTCCAGCCGACGCTACTCCCCTCCTCCGCCTTCCTCCAGAGACCGACGCTATCATCCCGACGCTCGTGCGCTCGTCATACCTCCTCCCCACTCTTCCCCTCCTCGGGGCCTCACGTGAAGCGCACTCAGTGTAAGTAGCGCTCAAATATCCTAGTGATATGAACCGGTCTTTGAAACGAGTCTGGGTAAGGAGAGTTTCGTGATTTCGTTGGCGTGGATGTACATGTGGGTGTGCAGGTAACGTGGGTGCGCAGGTAACAGGGCGCTGCCCGCCCCCGCCGCAGGCCTCTGCTTGCGCGGAATTGGTACAACTGGATAGAACTGGTCATAGAACTGGTCATAGAACTGGTCCATGGAACTGGTCGAAATTCTAAAGAGAAGGAATTTCAGCGTGTAGAATTCTTAATTTGAACCGCTTTTCATCGCCAGTGCGAGGGTGCCGCCATCGTCGTCGGCGTGATCAGCGTCTGCGCACGCGCTGGCCTTGTCACCAACGCCGCTACTAACGTGATCGTGTCTATCGTGGGCGACGTTTCCATGATACCGCGCCCGCCCAAATCGCCGATTCGCAGTGAAGTGCCCGCTGGGATTTGCCTAGCGGTCAGCCAAACTGGCTGGCTGCTGTGCGCGCGAGCATGCGCGGGCTAGCGCTGCCGCAGAGATGCACCAGCCAACGCCATGCACTCATCGCAATCGCCGCCGCGTGGGTTTCGCAAGCCATGTTGCGGGTGGGTGGGTGGGTGGAATGTTTGCGCGAGCAGTGCAACTTCAAGTTTTGAAAGGTGAGCTCTCCATTAACAGGGGGATCTCTACCCCCCGGGGATGATCCAGCCTCTTATTCGTTTTGCAATTTTCATATGGTTCTGCCCCATCGTCCACCATGCATGCGAACGCGTGCCATCCCAGCCGAGCCAGTATCCGCCGCCCGCTGCAGAACATAAGATGCGCGCGCATTCGCTCATCACAAGTCGTCAGTTTTCAAGAATTCCTTGCCGCAGCATTGACGAAGTGCAAACGCGCGCGTTGTCGCGCGCGCGCCAATGTCCTTCCGAAGCCTTGGGTCGAATGCGGGTGTCGAAATCGAGTGCCAAAGCAACATTTTAAACCAGGGTTTCGCGACGCGGGTTTTCAAGAAAAGCTTGCGCGCGTGCTCCTGCGAGTTCTTGAGAAAGCCAGGGTTTTTTTCCACAAATTGCATAACGTGCCACCAAACAGGCTTCGCGCGCGCGCGTCGAAATCGTTCGAACGCCTTTGCGCGCGTGCCATTGCGATAATCCATTGCAACGAATAGGGCGAAGTGCGCGCGCCCGCGTCGTCGCGCGTGCGTTCTGAAATCGGTCAAGATTCTTTGGTTTCGTAGTGCGTTTAAAACCGAAGGTACAACAACATTCAAGAACACATGGCTTCGCAATGTCAGTTTTCAAAGAAGCCTGCGCTCAAGCTCTTGCGAATTCTTAAGAGAACAACAGGATCCTCAACGCTTTCATGGGATTCTGCCGCATGGGCCTCTGGCGCGGCGTGCCGAAATCATTCCCGCGCCCTTGCGCGCGTGCTGGGGGGTGGGTGGGGTGGGCGGCGGGTGGGGGTGAGGTGGGTGGGTGGGGGTGGGGGGGGGGGTGGTGGGGTGGTGGTGGGGGGGGGGGGTGGGGTGGTGGGGGGTGGTGTGTGCGTGTGTGTGTGTGTGTGTGTGTGGTGTTGTGTGTGTGTGTGTGTGTGTGCGTGTGTGTGTGTGTGTGTGTGTGTGTGTGTGTGTGTGTGTGTGTGTGTGCGTGTGCGTGTGCGTGTGTGTGTGTGTGTGTGTGTGTGTGTGTGTGTGTGTGTGTGTGTGTGTGTGTGTGTGTGTGTGTGTGTGTGTGTGTGTGTGTGTGTGTGTGTGTGGGGGGGGGCGGGGGTGGGGGGTGGGGGGTGGAGGGGGGCGCGATCCGTGTCAAATGATACCATGCGGGCCACTCTCGCGCGTCGGCCGCGCGCGCATGTCGAACTCATTCCAAAATCTTCACCGCCAATGAGAGGACACCGTCATCGTCGTCGGCGTGACCAGCATCTGCGCCCGCACTGGCCGCGCCGTCGTCGTTGTCAACATCGTCACCAACATCGATGCTGTCATCATCGTGTCTACCGTGGTCGACGTTGCCATGGTACCGCGCCCGCCCAGGTCGCCGACTTGCAGTGCTGTGCCAGCTGAGATGCGCCCAGCGGCCAGCGCCACCGCGGCCGCGTCGGTCGCGCCAAACTAGCGGGCCGCTGCGCGCGCGCTTGGGTTCGCGCGGCCGCAGAGATGGACCAGTCAACGCCGAGCACTCATCGCAGTCGCCATTGCGTG